ACAGATTATTTATCTTAATGACCCAATAGCCCATCACCTGTGTGCTGCACTGTGACATTTTCTATCCAAACACCTACTACTACCCAAAAACCTAGAGAAGAAGAAAATGAAGAAAGAAGAGACAACTCTCTGAATCCTCCATTTTGTCTTTTGCTCTCTAAATTAGTTTAAATTCTAAACTAACTTTCTCACCCAGTGACTTGAGAAAACTTTCTAATCTGCACATTCACACTTTTAGCTTTTCTATCTAACTTTAACAGTTGTTTTCATGTATCACCATGAAAACACGCTCATGAATTGAATGTTATCCAAAATTCAGTGTTCTCCTGGATCTCAGAGCCGGGAATCAGAGACAAGGGCACACATTCTGTGTTTCAGACTCCAACACCCCCTCCCTGGCGCTGGCACACCCCGCGGGCAGCCTGGGCACAGCCGCCTGCCCCCGGCTCTCCTCCCGCTGGGAATCACCCACAGCTCCGCGGGAACAGGATTTTCCCAGCTCTGGAACAGCTCAGCTCCACTTTGCAGGGCACAGGAGCAGCTCTGGAACACCTCAGCTCCACTTTGGAGGGCACAGGAGCAGCTCTGGAACACCTCAGCTCCACTTTGGAGAGCACAGGAGCAGCTCTGGAACAGCTCAGCTCCACTTTGGAGGGCACAGGAGCAGCTCTGGAACAGCTCAGCTCCACTTTGGAGAGCACAGGAGCAGCTCTGGAACAGCTCAGCTCCACTTTGGAGAGCACAGGAGCAGCTCTGGAACACCTCAGCTCCACTTTGGAGGGCACCGGAGCAGCTCTGGAACACCTCAGCTCCACTTTGCAGGGCACAGGAGCAGCTCTGGTTTCACGATGGACCCGTAAAAACACGCGGCTGCAATCTGAGCGGAGGATCCAGACACATCAGCCGCCAGCTGACTGCAGCTGAATTATTAAATCAATATTTTATTCTTTTAGGAGGAAAAACATCACATCTGAGGGGAAAATTATTTTTAATACAAACAAAAGATGGGCCTTGAAAGTCTCAGCCTACCGTGCCTACAATCACAGCCCCTCAGATGGAGAAGGTCTTTATTAAAAATGCTCTTTAAAGTTAAATATATTCTTGTTTTGCAGGCAGCGCCTGTTCCAAGCAGAAACACATCTTTGCTGTGATTCCAGGGAAAGGCTTTTCTCTTCAAAGGAGAAAAAGGAGAAATACATAAAAAGAGATATTTTGTTTCACAGGGTAAAGAATCTAAGACCTAAGAAGTGACTGCTTTGGGTTGGAGGGACCTCAAAGCCCATCCAGTGTCACACCAGCCATGGCAGGGACACCTTCCCCTGTCCCAGGTGCTCCAACCTGGCCTTGGACACCTCAGGGATCCAGGGCAGCCTCAGCTGCTCTGGGAATTTTAATTGTTAATCCCCACCTGGTGTCATTGGCTCAAAACCAATGATGGCCAAATTGATTCCAACAGGTAAATGTGGAAAAACTCATTTGGAAGGATTTCAGTGAGTCCTTCCAGCTCAGACACTTCCCAGAAGAACCGGAGACTCCCGTGTCCTTGAAAAGCTGCCTGAGATGTGCGCCTCAAACAAGCAGGAGAATTTACAAGGACAGGTCTTTTTTCTCTCTCTAAATAAATAACAAGCTGAGAAAGGAGTGCTCAGAGAATGTTCAGTGAATTGGCAAAGATTTCTTTGCCTTTTTTTTTATCAAGCCCTTCATTTTTATCAGCAGCTAACTCCAAAGTGATCGGCTACAGAAGGCACTGGTGGGGAAGGAGATGATCTGTCAGCTCCCTTCCGAGCCAGACCACTCAATGAATTACCCTGAAAATTATCCTCAGAGTTAAATATGGGCAAATTATTCACCTGTATTAAAGAAGGAGATGGAAAAGGGATGCAGGGAAGATGAGGGGTGGATCAGCTCCACCTGGAGAGGACGGGATCAGCTCTCTGTGAAAAAAGAACAAAAAAACCAATCCTTGATTCTCCCCCAAAGCCAAACCCTGCTGAGCACCTGGACAAGGAAACACAACGGGTCAAAAAGCAGCTGCAGGCTCCTCCCTCGGGGGAGGAGGGAAAGAAAAGTTCAATTTAGAGCAATTTGGACAAATATGAGCACCCAGGCAGGGCTGAGCCCAGTTCACTGAGAGGAGCTTCTCACAAACTCCCGACGAGCCCCAGGTCTCTCCCTGCAGAAAGGGAAAACTCCGTCCCCTTTCCATGGAAAACCATCATTTCTGCATTCCCAGTTTCTCCCAGTTTCCCCTCCCAGTGTGGAGGCTTTAAACACAACCAGCTGAAGACAAGCAAACAGCAGAAAGCCATGGAAAAGCTCCTGGATCCAGGAGAGCTCCGAGGGCAGTGCATTCAGTGGAGAGACAACAATTCCCAGTGTCACCAGCACTGCCAGGGAAACACAATGCATGGATATTCCATTGACACTTGGAGCATAAATCAGGTGGAATTGCTCACAGAAGCAGACCCAAAGCATCTCGCTGTGAATCCAGAAGAGTAAATTTGGAGTCTCCTGGGAACTTTGCCATCATTTGTTTTCATTTCTCTGACTTCTCCTCATTTCTGCTCGGGATTAGCTCTCCCAACAATGATCACAGCAAGAGGGAAACCTGCTCCCAGGGGAATGGGATGAAAGCAACATTTACCAAAGTAAAGCCAAGCGAAGAAATCAAAATATGAAGAATTGAGTTTAAAAAAAGCCAGTCACAAAGTACTTAAAAAAGAGAACCAAAACGGCTTTAACTCTTGCTCAACCACTAAAAACTCTGTAGCCTTGTTGGGAGGCTGAAAAGCAGAGAAAAAAAAAAATATCTCCAAACTCACCAGAACCTCCCAAAATCATCTTTTGCACTTCTTCACATTGCCCACATTGTGCACGATTTGTTCCCTAAGGATTTTGCATTTTATCTAAATACAGAAAAGCCACATAACATTATCACCTTTGACTTTTGACTCCTGTTTCTCTTGGGTTCAGACCAACATAATCCAGCCAAGGATGTGAGCACACAAACTGCTCCTCACATTATCCAAGCAAAGCCATTATTAGCATTTTATTGGCACATGAAGCCAAAATGAACGAGCTCGAGCCCTTGGCAGCCCGTTCCACCTTGATTTAGCTTCTAATTACAACTTGCCCAATTTTCAGTGTCTTGTCCTCGGGGAGGCAAACCCTGAGCTCCATCTGGACAAACCCTGGCTTCCTTCTCCTCCCCAGTGATCCAGCCAGCTCCAAATGAAGCTGTTCTCCTTGTCCTGGCCTGGGTGTCTGGGGAGGTTCCAGGGCCATCTCTCAGTGCTCTTGGTTGAACTGAAAACCATCAAAAACCATTAAAACCATTAAAAACCATTAAGACCATTCCACTCCTTGAAATGATTTTCTGCCCTGAAAACTGAAGAAAATGCAGATATCCAGAAGCCCCAGGGCACTCACCTGAGCAGGAGCACATCCAGGAGATCCCTCAGAGGTGAAATCGTGGAGCAACTGACGGGAAACACAGAGCAGCTGGAGATTCCAGCAGGGAGCAAGGAAAGCAGCACCTGAATGTGGCCTGAGACAGGTGGCAAAGGCCTGGATCAGCCTTTTCCTGCTCCCTCCCCATCCCCACAGCCAGGAATTCCTTCCCAATATCCCACTGACCCTGCCCTCTGGCACTGGGAAGCCGTTCTCCCTTGTTCTGGCACTCTGAAATGCTCATTTTCCCAAGGAGCAGAAAGTTCCTGATTATAAAAATATCCAGCACACACCTAAATAAAAATTACTGGGAGTTAAAGTATCCCCTTCACTCCAAGCAAACAGAAATCTAGGGATTAAAGGAGCAACAACTTAAAATTTAGGCCTCCTGAGAAAAAAAAAAATTACAATCAGAGCATCTTTGGAGCAGCAGGAAGGCAGAGATGTCTTGGTGCTCCTCCAGGCACGACATCCTACCTGTGTAGCCAGAGTGACTCTTTTGTTCCCAATATCCTCAGATTTCCGATGGATCTCACCAGAATTTGCACACAAATCCCCTCTGGTTTTCCATCTCTCCAGTAAAAACCACCAGCCCTGTGTTATTTTCCCCATTATTTCATGGAATCTCAGAGTATCCTGAGCTGGGAGGGACCCACGGGGATCCAGTCCAGACACCCCAACAACCCCCCCATCCCTGACAGCATTTTCCACTTGAGTTCTGGCAAAAAAAAACAACTCTTCAGATAGTTCCTCCCCTGAAATCCCCCTGAAAACAGGCTTGAAATGCTTCTTAATTACAAAAGTTAAATATTTATTTATACAAATATGATGAGAAAAATCTCATGCAGACTCTTCACACACAGGAACAGAACCCAAATCTGACTGGGATGGCTTCACCACAGAACTGGGGTTGGAAGGCTGAGGGGGACGTGGCGCCCACGGGAAGTTCTGGGTCGGAGAGCTCTCCTATGGAACATGTGCCAAGATTTTCACACTCTTCACCAAGATTAACAATTAATAGCTGATCACTACTACTCAGAGGACTGGACAGAGACGGATGAGCAGCGGGAGCGGATCCTGCAGACCACCAGACCCCACACACTTGGTGGAAATGCCGAGTGGCCAAAAGATTGCTGGAGATAATTCCCCTAAATGATGGAAATGCCTTGAGATTGCTCTGGATGGCATCTGCTTCTGCTTAATTATAAATCTGCATCGGAGTCATAACTTGTGTATATTACAAGTAATTTGCATAATTAAAACAATTAAGGGATCGACATATCATGGCAATTAGAAATGCATCAAACTCGGGATGTTGTACAAAAGAGAGCTTCAATATGAAACATTAATTCTTTGAGAACAAAACATCCTTCCCGTTCCTGCCGAACAGCCTTCCCAAATCCGCTGGGGGCTCCCCAGGCTCCGTTCAGAGGCGGTTTTCCCTCGGGATCTCCCACTCCTGGTGGTGCTCTTGGACCCCGAGCGTTTTCCATCCTTCCTTGGACTCCCCTCCCGCAGCCGCGGCCTGGGCGCGTGTCCTTATTGCCAGTTTCAGCTGCTTTTATCTCATTTTCCGTAGCCTTATCCTATTTTCTTTGTCCCTCTTCTTGAGAATAAGAATGAACTGATTGAAAAAATGCTCCTGGTCCTTCTTCTTCTGGACGAGGCGGAAGCGCTGGTCGCGGCCGTACTTCTCGGCGAATTCCTTGAAGGTTGTCCTGTGGAAAAGGAGACCTTGGGAATGAATCTGGGGCTGTGCCAGGGCACCCCCAGACCTGCATCCACCCCAAACACGAGGAGTGGGGATGGATGGCACCAACAGGATGGAAAATGCGGGATGAAGGAAGGTGAGACCACCCTAGGGCTTTGGACACCTGGAGCAGCCTGCAAGGAGCAAGGATTAACTCTGGGATTTGAAAATGGATTGCTGGTTGGCAGGAGGCTGCTGAGCCATTAACACAGGGCTCACAGACCAGTGGCACCGAGTTTTTATTTCAACTCCTGCATATTTTGTACTTCCAAGGCGAGCACACCTCGCAGGGTTTGCTGCCTTCATTGCCTTTCAGGCTGCGTGCCCAGCTCCTTTCCCCAAGGTGTCTCTTTGCTTTTTATTGGAAATATTTGGGATTTATTTCCCTCACTGTGTGCCTAAATCAAGGCAGGGAAAGGAGCTTCCTCAGTCAGCTCCCAGAGCCCTTCAGGGGTGAAATGCTCCAGGCCTCTGGGCCAGCACAGCTTTTCCCTCGGAGACTGGGAATATCAGTGCTGGATGCAGAGTCTGGGTGGGACATCAGCCCAGAATATTCCTAATGTTGTTGTAAAATGTTTCTTGTAATTACAATTATTACAGCCCCCGTTATCTGTATCTGTCTGTATCCGTGTGCCCACACAGGTCGTGCTGAATAATTATCTGTGTATTTTATCAGAGAAAGCAGTAATTTCTTTGTTCCAGCAATTTAACAATGTTTATAATGTAAACCCCTTTGTTTTCATGTAATTTACAAATGAGAAACCACTGCCCTAAGCGCTGCTACCGTGTTGAGTCTGGGTCCATCACTTGAAAAACAAAGTGAAACATAAATTGTGCCTTGCACGCTGTATTTTAATTTAATCACAGAACTGTAGAGTCACAGGAGGGTTTGGTTTGGGAGAGACCTCACAGATCATCCTGTTCCAACCCCCTGCCACGGCAAGGGATGCATTCCATTAATTTAATGGCGTGGCATTAACAGGAACTTTGTGAAATTGCATTTCCCTTCCACCAAACGCCGAGACTAAATACGATTTCTGAGTAATTACACTTACATGTGCAATATGGATGAGACTGAACGTCGTGGTACTGATTTTACATAAGTAATGTGTGTTCTATAATCACATACAGGAATATGAAATAAATGTGCTGTGCAAAGGATTGCACATTCTGAGAGAGAGAGGGAGAGGGGAAGGGATGGAGAGAGGGAGAGATGGATGGAACATTTCCTCTCCCAGGAATGCAACAAAATACAGGAAAATATCAGGGAAGAAATGCCAGCATTGGAACCGGGATCTTCCACTTGCTCTGAAGAATTCTGGGCTGAAAAAGCTCAGCCTAAATGACAAAGCCGAGCTTCCCAACCCTTCCTAAGGCAATGCTCACCTTGGGGATAACTTGGATTCTTCCAGAAGCTTCTTGAACTCTTCCTTGGCCAACAGCAACTTGTTCTTCCTCTCTTTGTACTCCTCCCTGACCCGGGTCTTGACAAACTGCTCGAAAATCTGGCCAAGGAGGGGGCACAGGACAAGGAGTTATTGACAAAGCCTTTGTGGGGGCTGCAGTCCTCATCTGCCCTCCCCACGTGCCCAGGAGTTTTTATTCCATCACCTCCAAGGACTGGCCCCCTGTCCTGGCTCTAACTGGCCATTTCATCAAAGGCTGGCAGTGTTTACATTAATCCCAGAACCCCAGACTGGTTTGGGCTGGAAGGACCTTAAATCCCCCCCAGCCCCAGCCCTGCCATGCCCCACGGGCCCAGGTTGCTCCAAGGCTGATGAAATGATTTCAGGATTGCAAGGAACGTGTCTTGACGGACTCATCATGGTCCAGGTGTTGTCCTTGCCCGTTCCCTGCAATAAATCCCAAACTCCCTGCTCAGGCTCTCACTTTCCATCCTGGCAGCTCCTCATACATTTTCATTCCTCTATTTCCTTATTATTTTGTTTCATTTTTCTTTTCCCTAGGAAAGGAAATATTGGAAAGGGAGTAAATGAAGATGTATGTGCCCAGTGCTCTGGTAAACACCTACAGGAAGCTCTCTGGACAACCACGGGCCAATATGGAATAAGTTCATTTTTCATCCTGTTTATTTAGAAAATGGACAATTCCATATTCAAAATTATTCCTTCTGCAGGATGACAAAAGGCTTTTAAGGGAGAGGAATAACCACAGAACAGCAGCGTTCACCTTCTCTGCAAGATCCCTGCATCTCCCCTGCATTTTGCAGATTCATCTGCAGACTTTGGGGCCCCTGGTGATAATTAATGCCCAAATTATCAAGGCAGCAAAACTCCACATGCCTTTGGAGCTCCCCAGAAAAGCCCAACGCTTGCAGAGAGCCCCAGTGCCGTGTCCAGATCCTGCCAGGCTCCTGGGGAATTCCTCAACAGTGGAAATCCAGCAGTGTCTCCACAATATTCCAACAATTCAGGGTAGAACCATCACATTTCCCTCCCTGCAGCCAGCCTTCCCAGGAGCTGTTCCTGCATCCCAAGGGACGGGAGCCGGTCCCTGTGATCAGACCTTGCTTTTCCAAGGAGACAGCACTGGGAATCACAGAATACCCCGAGTGGGAAGGGACCAGCTGCCAGCCCCCCAAACCCCACCGTGTGCCTGGTGAGCACCACCCCGACGGGCAGAGCCAAACCTGTGAGCCCCCAGAGGGGAATCCTGATCTGCAGGCACTACCCAAGGAACTGCTCCAGGATCCCACTGGGTTTTGGGAGGTGTTTGCTGCAGCCAGGCCCGGGCTGGGGGCAGAGGTCACTCACCTGCCTCCTCTCCTCGGGGTTCAGCAGCAGGTAGCGCGGGTCAAACACCATCTTGTGCAGCTCCTTCTCCCACGTGGAGAACGCCGACACCTGGGGGCACGGCATTTAATGAGGATGGGGAAGGAGCAGATGTTCCCAGGAGTTCAGGGAGCCGAGGAACCCCTGGGCAGGATTCCTGGGGTGGCTGAAGGGGAATTCTGATCTCTGGCAGAGCTCTGGTGGCCTCCACACCACCAGGACTGATTTGCTCCTCAGCGAGGCTCTGGGAGATGCTCGCTCCCCATCCGTGGTGGAAGGAACCTGCAGCAGGCAGGAAATGCTGGATTGTGGCGCTGTTTGTGCAGGTCCAATTCCCACAAAAGGGACAACTCCAACTGCAGAGCTGGGACTGTGACCCAGCTGAGGCACTCAGGGGAAGCTGGCAGTGAACATCTTCAGAGCACCACGTTCCCACGGCACGGGACGGGAATGTCACATCCTGCAGGGCTGCATCCAGCCCCACGGAGCACTTTGGGTTGGAAGGGACCTCAAAGACCACCCAGATCCATCCCCTGCCTGGGCAGCAGCAATCGCCAGTATTTCAGAACCTTCTAAACACCCCCAGTCATTTGTTGGCTACAGGAAAATCTGAAGGAAATAAAATACTCTAATCACTCCAACAAAAGAGTGAATTTGCTAAAAAAAAGCCCTTGGATGTGAAGTGCAGTTAAACAGTAATTAACATTCCAGCAGGAAAGCTCTGATGAAGCAAAGGGGCTTTAAGTGGACTCGTTTTCCTCTCAGAGTGGTTTGAGATGGGGAAACCCAAAGCTCAGGCTGCCCTCGGTATCTGAGGCCATGGGGAAACCCAAAACTCAGGCTCTGGGGATCTGAGGCCATGGGGAAACCCAAAGCTCAGGCTGCCCTCGGGATCTGAGGCCAAGTCCCCCCAGCATCCCCTTGCCACAGCCTGAGCTCCCCTCCCCGTGTCCCCTTTGTCCTGAGCTCGGGGGTTTCCAGCACCAGGAATCCTCCTTTCCTGGTGTCTTTCACATTCTCCTGGACATCAGCTTCGTTCCCAGCAACAAGCCAGCTCTGAGCTAAGGCTAATTAAGCCCAGACTAATTCATCAGGTAATCATTCCAGCTGAGGATTTTGTGCTTAGCAATCATTCCACTGCACATTAGGCAAACGTCCCCTAAAACAACCTGGTATTTCTGATTTCATTCCAGTTACACTTCACACACAAATCCCCCTCTCTCCCCAGGATTAAGAAGGCAAAACCTTGAGACAAAACACCCCTGGAATCCTTTCAGCAGTCTGGAGAGCAGCCCAGCAGGGAGAAGACTTTCCTGGAAATGCTGGCTCAGAACGTGGATATTCTGAGCTGGGTGGGAGAGGGAGCCAGGAAGAACCTTCAGTTTCCCTCTTCCTCTTAGAGTTTTGTGGAAACTTTGAAACTTCCAGAGGAATATCCAGATTTCTGACACAGGAAAACTCACCCCGGACTTCAGAATAAAGAGTGCCTGTGTCTTGGAACTGCCCCAAACCCCCTCTATTTTTAAAATGTTACAATAAATATTCTTCTGTTGATATAATTTCTGTAGGAAGCTGCAGAACTCCTCTGGCAAACTCCATCTGCTTCGAGCTCTTTGTGATTCCTTCCAGCAGCTCCTTGAGGAGGACAGGGCAGGGGATGGTCATTAAATAATTAGATTTTGATGGCGTTAATGGCATCCCTGTGCTTCAGCCATGCCAAGCAGCTGCTGCTGAGCTGGACAGCTCAAAAAATGTTCAGAGTAAAAGCAAAGTAACCTCTTCTCTCCCCATTTTTAAACATTAGCAAATCCAAACAGTGAATTCCCCAAATTCCTTAATTTTAGGAGCAAATCTTACATAGAAACACCTGAGAATCCTGTTCTAGAACAGCCCTAAACCTTCCAAACATTGACTTATTGCCCCCTGAGTTGCAATCTGCCAGCAAAGTCTTCATGCAGAGCTCATTTATGGCCCTTCTGCATTTCTGCAGCATAAATAACAAGCTGTATTAATAAAGCAGCTCTGGCGTGGGGATAATTCACTGCTGAGCTGCTGAAGCTCTAATTATCCCCCTTTAAAGCCTGCTGATTACTGGGATAAATTTTATAGGCTTTAGTGTCTGACAACAGCCACCTTGGGCTGTATTTCCTGTGGGAATGACATTCCCTTTATGGGATGCACGTGGCAGTGTGGGGGGAGGCAGAAGATCTGCACCCACTGCTCATTTTACACCTCCCTGTCCCCAACCCTGCAGCATTCCCTGCTCCTGGTGCTCAGCACAGCTCCAAACATCTCCAGAGCATCCCTTCCCAAGGGTCTGGATGAGCATTAATGGCTCCCAGTGCCAGAGGGCAGGGCTGGATGGGATTTTGGGCAGGAATTGTTCCTGGCAGGGTGGGCAGGCCCTGGCACAGGTGCCCAGAGCAGCTGGGGCTGCCCCTGGATCCCTGGCAGTGCCCAAGGCCAGGCTGGACATTGGGGCTGGAGCAGCTGGGACAGGGGAAGGTGTCCCTGCCATGGCTGGGGTGGGATGGGGGGGATTTGGGGTCCTTTCCAACCCAAACCATTCCCTAATTCCATGATTTTGGATGGTCAGTAAGTGAAATTGGCTCCCCAGTGCTGGAGTTTGTGGTGATGGACACTCAGGAGCTCACAGGACAGCTCCTGAGGTGTGAGGTGCTGGCCAGGACAGCCCAGGACGGCTGTGCCCACAGCCCCACGTCCTGCTGAGCCACTGACCGTGCTGGAAGAGCTGCTGCCTCTGGATCTCCATGGGATACAAACTCCGGGAGTTTGTCTGGAAAGGGCTCCCGTGGCAGAAAGCCCCCAGCGGCACGGGCTCAGGGACAGAGAGCCCAGCGCTGGTTCCTGCCGAGGCTGCTGAGCCAGGCCAGGAGCGGCTGCAGGAGCGTGCTGTGTCCCGGGAAGGGCTGCTCCTTACCCCCCTCTCCAGCAGCATGTCCCTGAAGTGGGTGATCCTCTCCTCCAGGGGCGGTGAGATCCGGCTGGCCGAGCCTTCCTCCCCTCCCTGCTCCTCCTCAGCCCCCGCAGCCTGGCACTCCTCTGTTCTTTACAGGGCAAGACAGACAAGAGGTCAGCAGTGCTCACCTGCCAGGCCATTTCATCCTTTTAATCCTTTTAATCCTTTTAATCCATCGGACAGGTGCTGGGAGCTGCCACTCCTGGAGCCGTGGGTGCTCAGGGATGGGGAATTGACCCAGAGCTGCAGCTGGGTACCAAACCCGGGGCTGCTGAGGCAGGATGGTCACTCAGAGCATCTGACACCCAAATTCAAGGTGCAGCACAGTGACAGCTTCATGCAGCCCTCGCCAAGGAGGGGTGACCCTAAAGGGGCCTTGTCATGCCAAAAACTACAACCAAGGGCTCGGTTCAGCAGGTCTGTGATAACCCAGCACGAGCTCCGTGCCTGCCCACGCTCAGGACACCAGGGATGGGTGTGGGAAGCCTCAGAATTGCTCTTTCAGGGGTGATGCAGGAGAATGTGAAGCACACGTGGTAATTAATGAAGGTCAGCAGCAGGAGCAGCGGGGCTGGCTCTGAGAGCAGGGCAGAAACTGCTGCTCTCCAGCCAGGGAAAGCTTTGAGCCAGTCTTTGGAGTAACACACAGCCTGGCAGCCTTGCTTGTAAGCATTTCCTAAAGGAAGAGTTCCCCAGACAAAGTCTGGTGATGCCCACGGGAAACAGCTGCAGAGAATGCTGGCTCTGGTGAGGACCTGGAGAACAGCTCCCATCATTTCCCCACAGAGAACAAAACTGCACTCAGCTCGCCCTGCTTTGTAGCAGCCCTTCCCACCACCAAATACAGAGAAGTAAACTTCAGAACTTACTTATTTCTCTTAGTTTTGATGCTCAGATCATCGTTTTCATCCCCTGGACAAGAGCTAACACACTTGTCTGCTGTAAAGAAAGAAGTCATTATCAGATTTGAATGAGAGAAATGGGAATACAAATTCCTCAAATTGACTTCTCTTCCCTCGTCTCTGCTGCTCAGGTATTTCCTGGCTTTCACCCTCCACAGAGGGTTTTAAAAATAAAAGTATTTTATAAAATCCTCAGAACTGCCTTCATCCAAATGGGAGCGACAGCAATAAAGTGACCATTTCCAGTCAACAAAATTCCTCATTTTTCATTCATGACATGATTGCTTTAAATCTTATTATTGTTTCACCTGATCCTCCCTCCTCACTTCCCTTCTAAATGCAGCCAAAGACATTCCTGCAAAATCATTTCCGTGCTGACAGCCTGAAGGATTCAGGGGAGGTGACTCCCACCAGAGCTTCCCTCCTTTCCCATCTCTCCTCCTCGGACCAGCCAGCCTCAGGGTGCTTTCCCAGGAATTCCAGCAGAAATTCCAGAATCCAACAATCTCCACAGCCCTGAGGCCTCAGAGCAGCCCCAGGGCCCGGCCAGCCCCTGCTCTGCCCTGGACACGGCTCCCTGGGCACTCAGAGCTTGGATTTCCAGTCACAGACAAGGGGAACAAATCCTGAGTTCTGCAGTGTTTTCCCTCCTCCTCTGCCACCTGCAGTTGTCACCAAGCCCCAAAGGACACAGAGGTCACATCCTGCACTGCAGGCCCCCAGCACAGCGCTGGGAAATGCTCAGGGGCTGTTTCTCTTCTCTGAGTGCCAAAGGATCCAAAATCTCTGTGGGAATTCTGTAAATTACATCATCCCAGGTTTTCAGGAGGAAATCTTCCAGCTGTGTCCAGGCTGGACAGGGCTGGGAGCAGCCTGGGACAGGGGAAGGTGTCCCTGCCACGGCACTGAGGGCTCTGAGCTCTCCCAACCCAACCATTCCAGGATCTGATGACTCCACAATGTCCATTCTCTATTCATTATCAGGAGAAGCTCCTCAGCCTGAGCCTGAGCTGAAGGAGGAGATCCCAGCAGATGGATTGCTGCCCCTCCTCTCCAGCCCTGGTGGGAACCCATTAGGGAAGAGCCACATCAATCTCCTGCAACAAACACTCGGTGGAGGAGGAGTAATTGAGAAATGAGCAATTTTTCATTTATGCCCAAATTTAAAAACCACTTGATCCTTCAGCAGAGACAACCCAGAGCATCCCGTGGATAACTTCACTTGACTTTTCTTTTATTTTTTTAAGATGTTTGATTTAAAAATCCTAATTAAATCTCAGCAGCAGCCACTCAGCTAAATAAATGTGGGGAGCATGGTTGGGAACACTCAGCTCGTTTGTGTTATTTATTTACTGGAGATTACGAGCTAAGAGAAGAGGTAACAAATAATTCCCCCTCACCTCAGAGCTAATCTACACTAATTACAAAGTGCTCCAACACTGAGCAGCCACAAGGCCCAATTACAGCAGGGAAGATTAAGACTGTTTAACAACAATGAAAGTCACGGCCCTAAAAAAAATAACAGGAGCATGAATCAAATCTTTGTGGTAGAGATAATAAATGAAAAGGATGGAACACAGCAAAAAATAGATTTTTGAAGTGGCACCTATCAGCCCTGACTTTAGACTCTTCTGTTAATTAATTAGAGAGCAGGAACAATGGTAGAGACCATGAACAATGACCCTCAGCTTTGTCTCTGGCCATCCCTTGGCAGGAATTCACTGAATCCCACAATTAAAAGCTCTTTTTCTCTCCTGGAGAATGAATTGCAGCAGATTGCAGATTTGCAGGAATTAGATCCACAGCTACAACCCCTCAAACCACACAGAAATACAAAACACAAGCACCTGCTGAGGAAACTCCCAGAGCAAAATGCAATTACAGCTGTGGCAACAGGACACAGACGGAGAGAAGCTGATAATGGCTCACCCCTGTGTCCCTGCAGGCATGGGGTTTTGGTTACTTGGGGTTTGTGGGGTTACTTGGGGTTTTCAGGGGTTATTTGGGGGGTTTGCAGGGGTTATTTGGGGTTTGCAGAGGTTATTTGGGGTTTGCAGGGGTTATTTGGGGTTTGCAGTGATTATTTGGGGTTTGCAGTGATTATTTGGGGTTTTCAGGGATTATTTGGGGTTCACAGTGGTTGTTTGGGGTTTGCAGTGATTATTTGGGGTTCGCAGTGATTATTTGGGGTTCACAGGGGTTATTTGGGGTTCACAGGGGTTATTTGGGGTTCACAGGGGTTGTTTGGGGTTCACAGTGGTTGTTTGGGGTTCACAGGGGTTGTTTGGGGTTCACAGTGGTTATTTGGGGTTCACAGTGGTTATTTGGGGTTCACAGTGGTTATTTGGGGTTCACAGGGGTTATTTGGGGTTTTCAGGGGTTATTTGGGGTTCACAGTGGTTATTTGGGGTTCACAGTGGTTGTTTGGGGTTTGCAGGGGCTCACTGGCAGCTGTCCCCCTGGACCAGAGGCAGTGCCCATCCCTGCTGGCCCGGGGGGACAGGACAGGTCCCACAGCAGCCTGGCAGTGCCACCACCCCGAGCTGTGATAAAACAGCGCCTGCAAACAGCCACGAGCCTCGCTTCCTTCCCCCTCCCCACTGAGGAACAAGCAGCAGCTGAAGGGTGGTGGCTGCTCTTTCCCCACCAAAACCAGAATATTCTGGAACTCCCAGCAGCCAGCCAGGGCCAGGAGCAGTTCCCACGTCCCAGTAAGGGACAGCGCTCCCAGTAAAGCCAGCGGGAAGCCTCGGGAGCTGCGGCAGGAGCAGGGGAGCCTTTGGAGCAATCCTCTGAGCTTGGAGAGATTCCTGCTGGGATTTTCCCTCCTGCCCAGGCTGGCTGGAGGAGCAGCACGGAGCGTGTGCCTGGGGAGCAGCTGAGTGATGCTGCTAATGCACTGCTAATGCACACCTCCAGCTCGGGCAATAAAACACCCTGAGCCTTCTGAGAGGGACTGTATCCATCACAGAGCCATCTCCTGCAGGAAGCCACCCGCTTCTTCATGCCAGCAAGGGGCAGCCTCAGCCCCCGGCTCGGCGTTCCACTGAAAACAACATCCTGCATCACCGTCAACTTTCCCTTCCCCGGGAATCTCCCTCAGCTCCCACTCTAATTCCAGCCCTCAGCACAGCCAGCTCCAGCTGCCAGGGGATGCCAGGGGATTCCAGGGAATGCCAGGGGATGCCATGGGACTCCAGGGGACGCCAGGGGATTCCAGGGGATTCCAGGGAATGCCAGGGGGTGCCAGGGGAT